ATATATTTCAAAAATTTATAAAAATATTCCTAAAAATTTACCTATTTTCATGATTTGATATCATATTTTGACTAAATAAATATATATTTCATCAGAATTCTATGTTTTTTAAAAAAAGTGCTCCGAACGTAGGCAGATACCTTAACGAAGAGTCTTTTCCCTTTCAGCAAAGGAGGGAACCTTTGACGTGTAGATTTCAAATCATTCTTTGACCATCTCTGAGATCTGTTCCATGACAGAAATCTCAAATCAGCAGTTACGGAAAATTCCTCCGATTCACCTCTGGTATAATAAGCAGGCTCCAGGTGGCGCCCTCGCCGTCAAGGCTGATAGAGTCATTCAGTCCACTATTAGCAGGCTCGAAATTCGACACATCAGGGGTCTGTCATTTGATCAGCGGCAAAACCTATCTCATGTGCACCAAATGCAACTCTGCGCAGGCTTTTCCCGATCACACATTGAATTGTGCAGATTGATGGGTTTGGCCTTTTTATCAGTCCTCTTCTTGCTTATGATTTTTTTAAGGTTCTTGGGCTCAGCAGATTAGATCATGTCGAATAAGATAGGAACAACAACAAGAATCTTCACAAATATGTTTCAAATGAATACTCCGTATAAAAATTAAAGAAATCACAATGGAATACATTTTACCAATAAACTACCTCAGAGGAGAAAACTATGTACATTGCGAAAAAACATGGGACAGTTCTCTTTCTTCCGTTCTAGTGGACCGATTGACAAAACTTGCGTTTTTCACATCTCCAACGCGCGACTTAGGATATGTATAAGATTTATATATAGCATTGTTCTAATACAGGTATTTTGACACAAAATCGGATTTTTTCTGAAATGGCATGCCAATAATTTTTTTCCATATTTCGACTTCGCGACTCAAATTATGCCAAACTGCCCAGTTTTGTAAAAGCCGCACAAGTAGGTTTTAAAACATTAGCTTTCAAAATTGTAGCTCCTAGGTGTTAATTGAACTTGATATATATTTATTAATAACTCTTTTTTTATTAACAACTTATTTGATTCTTCCTTTCATACTTCGAAATTTAGGCTTATTCCAAATAAAATTCGCCTATATTTTATGATTTATTTTTAAAATTTGTATTTTAAATAATTTTCATACATTTTTCGAAAACCATTTTGAATTATGAAGTGCAAAATATTTACCGTCATCTTAAAGCAGATGTATTTCTAAGCAAATTTGCAAAAAATTAGAGTTTTTTATTCGAAATTTCGTAACATATACGTGAGTTTTTATTTTGACGCGTTTTGAAATTTGGCGTATTTATTACAAGCGATAATAACGAAAATGTGGTTTACGGACGTTATTAAAATTATTTGAAACTATGAACGATGACTTCCCCCCCCCTGGTTGACAATGAAGAAAAATGGGTTGCTAGAAATGAAGAAGTTTGCCAAGTGAATTATTCTTGGCGCAAACTGAAAAAAATTCGCCCAAATAAATTTTTTAATTTCTAATCAAAAATAAAAAAATAATATCAAGCATAATTTGAGTCGTAGAATCGAAGTATGGTAAAAAATTGGTATGTTATTTCAGAAAGTCGGATTTTTTGTTAAAATACCTATGTTAAAGAAAAGCTATATATAAATCTAATATATATCCTAAGTCGCGCTTTTCGTCAATCGGCCCAGTAGAATGGAACATATAGACGTGTTTTTTTTTTTTTTTTTTTTTTTTTTTTTGTTTTTGTTGTTGTTGTTGTCCGCAGTGTTTTGTATAATAGATAAATTGGAAAACTCATACGAAAATTATTAAAATTTCTAGAAACTAGCATTAAAATGTTAGGAGGAAAACAGACGCAGAAATACAGTGTATACAAAAATTATTTAAAAAATAAACAAAAATTCAATGCGATAAATTAGAAATAAAGAGTAGAAAGTTGAGATTACACCGAGAGCTTAAACTGAAATACAAACTTCGAGAAGACCAGGAAAATATTTAGACGATAAGAATGATAAAAAAAATGAAAACTGAGTCATAGAAATTATTAAAATAATTAAAGTGTTGTTAGAAATTATTAAAATATTATTAAAAATAATTATCATTAATCTTTCGTGTTTCTTCGAGAGGGGTTATTTCAAGAAAACAATAAAAACTAACCAAACAGACTTAAGTAAACATGATTTTGAAGAGTTTTTTAAATAAATTCCTTCATATAGAATTATTAAAAGGAAATTAAATCAAACCTTTAACACATTTATAGACAGAGACAATACTTTCTGAATGCATTACATTAAACGATGGCAATATGCTTAACATAGTAAGTTTATAAAAGCATGGTACTTATGACACACTTCTCAGACTTGAGTATGTTTCTATAGAAGATGCAATTGTGCCCAATTTAATTAAGTAACCAAACATAAGATACAAATTATCACTTTTTTTATTTTTCACAAAATGTTAATTCAATATAAATATTAAGAGTAATGGCACATCTTGCACAAAAAAGGGGGGTAGGACAGTTCTATATCTTCCGTTCCACTAGGCCGATTCACGAAACTCGACTTGCGTTTTTCAGATCTCGAAAGCGTGACGTTGGATATCTATTAGATTTATATATAGTAGTGTTCTAACGTAGGTATTTTGACACAAAATCTGACTTTTTCTGGAATTACATACCCACTTTTTCAACATTTCAATTCTACGACTCAAATTATGCCAAAGCGCCAAATTTTGTAAAAATCGCAAAATTTAGTTCCTCAATATTTATTCAAATTTAGCATATATTTACTAATACATCTTTTTTTATTACATTTACTTGATTCCTTCGTCTACATTTTGAAATTTAGGTTCGGTCCAAATAAAATTCACAGACGTTTTCTAATTTATTTTTTAAATTTGTATTTTGCAGTACGTTTTATCGAAACAACCAAAAAAAAAAAAGTCTGCTTTATTACCTACAAAAGTTTTACCATCACTTTAAAGTAGACGTACTTCTAGGCATACTTGCCAAAAATTAGATGAACATCGTTATAAACAATTTAAACAATTTTAACAATTTTAAATAAAATTTCAAAAGATATACGTGGATTCATATCTTGGTGCGTTATGAAATTTGGCATATTTGTTATAAGGATAATAACTTCAAACGGGCCTTACCCACTTTGAAAGAATGAAAGATTCACCTTTTTTCCACTCGTGTACAATGAAAAAAAAAAGGTTACTGTAAATTAACAATTTCGCCAAGTGAATTAATTATTCTTGAAGAATACTAAAAGAAATGCTCCAAGATAAATTTTTAAACATCTCCTTTCATCAAAGATTTTGATCAAATTTTACAAAATTTAATATTTGTGCATAACCTGAATCATGGAATCGAAATATGGGAAAATAATCGGTATGTTATTTCAGGAAAAGTCCGATTTTGTGTTAAAATGCCTATGTTAGACCAGTGCTATATATGAATTTAATACATATCCTATGTCACGCTTTCAAGGCATGAAAAAGGTAAGTTAAATTACGTCTGCTGGTCCAATAGAACGAGAGACATAGAACTGTCGCTTTCTTTGTGCAAGTTGTACATGAAAATATTCGATAATACAGTTTTCAAAAATTTGTAGCTATTTTACATATGCTCATATATCGTTAAAATATATAAGTATAATTTGGGCGAAATAAAAATACATAATAAATAAATAATTTACGTAGGATATAAGCAACACCGGAATAAGTATTTGGTGCTAATATCTCTAAATATTCAATTTGTGTTACTTGTAATCATTATTTTAAATTTTTCACTGGGATAAATATTGTAATTATTGCATTTAAAGCAAGCATCATAAAGTTTATAGTGTTTTGAATCGAACTGAATTTTTTTATACGAAGAAACAATCTGCCTTTTGGTAAAGGAAAAAAAGGACTACCTTAAAGTTTTTTCATGCAGTTCTAAAATTTCCATAATGATCAATTCTCTAAAACAAACCCTGGAAATACTCAACAAGACCATTCACGATAACTGTTATCGAGTTCAATATTTCAAAATATGAAGAAAAAATTTCCGTTTCAAAGAAATAAAATTACATGTGTTACTAGAAAATATTCCATCCTTAGCTATATTTAGGTAAGACCAGTCCATGTGTATGTCTGTCAGTCTGTGTGCCATTCACGATACTACTAAAGCTTGATAGTTAACAAAAAGAAATGAGAAATTATTAATGAGCTTCATAATTAACAAAAAGAAATGAGAAATTACAAATGAGCTTGATAGTTAACAAAACGAAATGAGAAATTACAAATGAGCTTCATAGTTAACAAAAAGAAATGATAAATTACAAATGAGCTTTATAGTTAACAAAAAGAAATGATAAATTAGAAATGAGCTTGATAGTTAAAAAAAGGAGAGAAATTATAAATGAGCTTGATAGTTAAAAAAAGGAGAAATTATAAATGAGCTTGATAGTTAAAAAAAGGAGAAATTATAAATGAGCTTGATAGTTAACAGAAAAAAATGAGAAATTATTAATGAGCTTGATAATTAACAAAAAGAAATGAGAAATTACAAATGAGCTTGATAGTTAACAAAAAGAAATGAGAAATTGCAAATGAGCTTGATAGTTAAAAAAAAGGAGAAATTATAAATGAGATTGATAGTTAAAAAAAGGAGAAATTATAAATGAGCTTGATAGTTAAAAAAGGAGAAATTATAAATGAGCTTGATAGTTATTAAAAAAGAGAAATTATAAATGAGCTTGATAGTTGACAAAAAGAAATGAGAAATTATAAATGAGCTCTATAATTAACAAAAAGAAATGAGAAATTACAAATAAGCTCGATAGTTAATAAAAAAGAATTAGAAGTTATTAATGAGCTTGATAGCTAACAAAAAGAAATGATAAATTATAAATGAGCTTTATAATTAACAAAAAGAAATGATAAATTATAAATAAGCTCAATAGTTAACAAAAACAAATTAGAAGTTATTAATGAGCTTGGTAGTTAACAAAAGGAAATGAGAAATTATAAATGAGCTTAATAGTTAAGAAAAATAAATGAGCTTGATAATTAACAAAAAGTAATGAAAAATTACAAATAAGCTTGACAGTTAACAAAAAGGAAAGAGAAAATAACTATAAATGACAAAAGAAAGGAACTAGCATTGTGAGGTTAATGGTGTGCATACAATTTAAAAAAATCACAGCAATTTCGAAAACGTTACGAAAGATAATAATTAATATCAATGATCACATTTGCATTAAATGTTAGCAACGTTCTTTCATATCATTTGCAATAACATCAATGTCCTGCAAAATGTGGTCTTCTGGGTTACTGTAGTTGGGCAGCTTCTATTTAAAATAATTTTTAAAATTGCTTTTTTATGCTTATTTTTTGATCCCATATTGCAGACATGCTTATATGAATACTATACTTCCATAAAATTGTTTTGATAAAAGCTATAATTTGGGTGGGTTTCTGAATATACAACACTGAGGATTCTATAGTTTTGCTTCTAGCATTATGTATGTAATGAAATTTTAAATTATATGTGAACTGTCCGTAGAATAAATTCTTTAAATATTCTTACAAAAAAGAATACAAAAAAGTCATACTAACATAGCATTTATTGAAAAAGTGAATGTGAAATTTAACGACTAGTCTTTTCTGACATATATTACCATTTAGAATTTCCAAACTTATTCCGTTGTAGCCATCCTGTACATCAACGAAAGAGAAAGTTTTTCTAACTTGTGACAATACTTTTAACTTTTTAAATTAAAATATAGAAACCAGATTTAGATTATCAATATATATTTCATACCTAAATAAACTACCATAAAGAAAATAAAACCTAAACAAAAATTTATATTGGGTTATTTACAAGAACACACATATCTTCTGTCTGAGCAAAATTATGGCATTAAAACTTGACATCATGTCATTAGCTGAAAATGAGGGAAAAAAGGAAGTAATTGACGTAAACACTGTTGGTCACCAGATTCTTCATGTGCTTCTTCTTTATATATTTTTCGTAATTCACCAGATTTCGTGTACGCTGAAATGAATTTATCTCTTATTCAATGTATAGGTGTTTAGCTCTTGGCTCTTGGACACGAAAGAGCCTGGAAAGGAGACAGTGAAAGTCTTTGCTTTCTGAGAGTTTCTACTGCACATCTGAATTGTTGGAAAATTGCCGTGACTCTGTTCTGAGTGGAGTCATATTGACGACGTTAACTTGTGAGTTACTATTAAAGTCACGAGTAAATCGAAGGTGTTTCCAAGCAAGCGTAATTTATATCTCACGCAAGTATATTACTTTCAGGAGCATATAGTTTCAGCAAGCAATAGATCCAGAGTATGTATTTTCAATCGGAAAGTCAGATTTCGCAACACATTAGCCATCAACATCAAGTAAACATCGAAAATACCGGACATGGAAAAAATAAAACAGGCCTGCTTCAACCAACTGAGCAGAACTTTCAGTGTTTGGCACCAGAGTTCTTTCACCACGTTTGATTAGTTTCTGTAGTTCTTTGGATTTGTTTGTTTATACTTTTTTAACATTCAGCAGAGGGGCAAAAAATGGAAAGAATTGGGGTTTTACATTTTTAATGCTTTGTTAGTTTCAGTGTTCTTTCTCTTTGAAGGATCTTCAGTCTACGAGCAAATTGAAAGATATTTGTCCGCTAGGTACAGCTTCATCGGTGTGATTAATGTTCTTCGCCCACAGTTTGCATGTGACGGAAACAGCTACTCCTACGGCTGGATTGGTGAACCGTATTCCCACCAAAGGAGGCATGTATTCCGGTTGCCTGCGGTATGGGAAAAACTGTATTGGAAATCCTCGATCTGGAGTGTACTGTATGCGACCCATGTTCTCCTGGTCTACAAGAGAATCACCTTGGCAATCTAAGTATACCAAGTTTGAAGTGGCTGCATTCAATTTGGAGACGTCGACGTAATTTTCCAACTCCCTAGCCGTGTAAGGTTCTGGTATCCAATCAGTGATGTTGTTGAATTCGAGAAAAACGCATGGTTTACCCTTGTCGTAGCCAAAATTCTCATCCTTGCTGCATTCCACCATAATAGGTGCCACGTTAAATTTGCAGACTTTATCCTCTTGCATAATTGGACTGCTTCCGTAGCACTCCACCACTTTTCCGGTTCTGTTGAGTGGATTTCTGTACCGTGCTAGAAGTTGCTCCAGTTGCTTCGTCAGGTCGGGCCATATGCGTCCTTCATCTGGTAAAGATCCATGCACAAAGTTGATGACGTTCTTGGGTTTGTTCGGGCGTGGCCACAGCTGTTGAAAAATTTATGAAACGTGTATTAGAATTCATAACACACAAACAATAACAATAGATATTTCAAGTTTATTTTTATTCTACATACTTACATCTATTTCATCAACCTGCAGATTATTAAAAGTATAAACATAACAAATATGTAACACTGCATTGAATAACTCAGCAAATACGTACCCCATCTTTTCTAATTGCGTGTACAGTAATAAATTATAATATCATACATTGCAAATTCACTAGTTCGAATGCTTTCATGCTTTTCAAATGAAATTCCCTAACACTTTACTTAGTATTCGACAATACATCAAATATGTAGGTAAGAATTCAATGCTGTTATTACTTGGTTTCAACGAATGGCTATAAGTGGTATATGATGTCGGAAGAGTAAAATATTAACTCAATAAACGCATAAATATAGTTCAAAGCGGAGAGTGAGTTAGTTTAAATCCATTTTATTGCAAGAAACTTAAAGTAAGCTTTTCCTAGGGGAAAGAAGATTGAATGGAATACGTCAATGATCTTGATTAACCAGTTCGCCGTTAGGAAAATCGTAAACATTTCGTGCCATTTTTCGCATCCAAAGGTAAACTTTTTGTGTCTAAAACTGGGTTCAGAATATTTCTTTCCCCTTTCACCACCTGTGAAAGCCTATTTAGAAGTTCTGTTCAAATCAGATTGAACAGCGTACCTGTCACACTGAAGGATGGTGATGTGAATAACGACCCCCTAGAAGCAACACATAAAACACAAAGACTGGTGTAATCCTTAGAGCAGATATTTTTCCCTTTCCACCCACCCCACTTCCATTCCTGCACCTAACCCCAAATCTATTGCAATGTTAAATGTAATTTTTAATTGTCAAGAAAAAGCTTTATATAACGTAAAAAAAAAAATAAGGGCATTAGCTAGTATTTGAAATATCCTTGAATTTTGTTTTATTGTTTTCTTGATGGCCTGTAACAAAAGAGAAGAATTGAATCGTTAGAATTGAAAGGATAGCATTCAAATCCCTTTGTCCGTTAATAGAAAAGGAGAAAGCCGTTGGGGATCCCATAAGATATGTTGAGGGGGGGTAGCTTGTCGAAGAAAGTGTCCCCATCCTTTACTTTTCTGAAACAGCCCCGCTGTGATCTAATGCAACACCGCCGGAGGAGAAGTAAAACCCATCAATCACCCCTTTTGATTTTCGACTCATTCTGTGGGGGTTGGAAAAACGTCGCTGCGTCGTATGTGTCTCGGGGGTTACGTTCAGACCAAATTTCACCCCGACGAGAGTCTGCCGACGCTAACTGATGACGATGCCTTTTCTGTGAACGTATTTCTCTCGGGGCAAACGGTGAACTGGTTAATGAAGAGACGTCTATCTGTTGCAGAAACTTACAACAAAGCATTGCATAGGAAACTGAAGTAATATCGCAAATGGATTTGTTTAGAGGAAGAATATAGAAGGAAATACACTCTGCAATATAAAAAGCGATGTATCAAAGAGGATTTATTCGAATGGGACGAATATGCACATGCCCCATACCATACGATAGAATATGGAAAGGGTTAACTTTTGGGGGTCAATGACTGTCTAGCTGGAACACAAGCACAATGTAACAGATCATCCGGAAGATGTATAAAACAGAGATATTCTAATGCTAAGTCATACTTTCTATGAAAATGTGGTACCATCGACCCACGTGGGCTGTATCAATGCTTCGCTGACGGATTCACGAACAGTATGAGCAGATGTTACCGTTTGAGAAACGAACAATTGGACTAAAGTAAGTAGGGTGGACAAATCGCAGGGTCGCTAGACCTTTTTGAATTGGTCGTATGAGATCATGGCAAAGCCTCGAGGGCTAAACCGAACCAGATACATACACTTATTTTTGTGCTGTGCTACTGTTTCCTTTGTTTCAATGATGTCCTTGGTTTGGTTGGTTTATGTGATTACTGCAAAGCCTCGAGGCTATCTGCCTAAGGGGAGGGATGCTTTCGTAGAGGACTTTCTAAGCGAAACTGGCTCGTACACACGTTACACATGGAGAAACCACGAAACCGCCCAAGCAGCCAACCTGTTCGTGGGATTCGAAACTCGAACCGAACTAGCAGTGTTCAGCGACTTTGCCATTAGGTCGCTGGTGGGCTATTTATGAGTTGGAGCGATGCTACCATTCAAATATGTTAGCAAGAATGGGTGATCCATGGCCGCAGAGAGCCTCAAGAAGGTAGCAGTCAACCAAGATCGATGACAGAATGGTCGTTCAGATAGCGGTCACAGCCCCTGATGCACCCAAATCAACGATCTGACATGTAACCGGGACACCAGTGACTGCAGTCACAAATGATACGTGACTCAGCGAATGGGAGCTTAGGTCACGAAGCCATTAATATGAGTTGAATGTTAGAAAGGCGAGAAAACGAAATGTGCATCGTCTTTTCCCACGACCCATCGCCGAAAGCAGAACGCGCTGAAGAGTTCTCTCTAAGAAACAATTATTTGGTCAAAAATGGAAAAATGCTATCACAATAGTTCAATCTTGGATATATTTAAATAATCACAATAAAAAATATCAATTTATTATTATCAAAGAGAAGGAAAAGAATCTTAGAACATGGTCCAAGGAATCTAAAGAAAGCTTTTCAACGGGATTATCACTGTTGCTCGTTTTTGATATAACGAAAAATAAAAATTAAAGAGAATGTAGAAAACTGTGAAGGTCAATTTCACATATTATCGGAAACATATTTTATACCAATTTTCAAACACGAAGTACCTTCTTTTTATGCTAATGCCCATTAGTAGAAGTGCATCAAGGCAAAACAACCAGCCGCACGTCAAACTCCAGTGTTAATTTCATAGAGGAAATGCAACAAGAAACGTTTATAAACGCCATACCGTTCACTCATATCCCTTCTAAATCCTTTGCTGTATCATCCCCGGATTTTTGCACTTCCAGATTTTTAAAAGCGTCTAGAGACATTCGGTATTTTTTGGAAGCAGGAGAAATGAAAAATTAGCAACGTCTTCTCAAGGAATGGAACCGCGGTCTCTGGAATACGCGCACAGCGTGCAGATCACCACACCACGAAGGTATGCCAAGAAGGCGGGAGAAATAACTTATAAGCGAATTGTCCAAATGTTGACCTACAATCGTCCTTGGACGATGGAGCGCTATTCAAGAGGAATGGGATAAAATACCTCGTTCGACACTAAAAGAAGCTTTATTGTCTTTGAAATTACGGTGTAGGAGGATTGTGAAGAATAAAAGTAGTGAAATGGAACTTTTAAAACAATTAGGTAAAATATTTCTGTAAATTCGATGAAAAACATCTGCGAACAGCCTCCGTAAAAAGGGAGCGGTAAAGTCGCTGAACACTGGTAGTTCGGTCCGAGGTTCGAATCCCGCGAACGGGCTAGCTGCGTGGGCGTTAGGCAGATAGTCCTAGTCCTAAGGCTTTGCCATAATTTCAATAAGCCAAACCAAACCAAACCTCCGTAAAAAGGTGCAATTAACTAAGCATTTGCAAAAGTTGCGTAATATTTTAATACATCTTTGATATTAAAAATCCTGAAAAGAATAATGTAATTTCCGTACTAGTGTCTGTATTTAATAAGAAAATACATACAAACTCATGTAAACTTAAAAATTTACTGCTTTTAAAATATTCGAATTTGTTTAAAAAAATTATTGTATTTTATGTTGCCACTTTTGTAAAGTATATCTTCATGTTTTTTCCCGGAATACTCGAATAGTATTGCACTAGTAGAGATGAAAGTTGGCTTACACGATATCCGCCGATTGCGCGAGCTATAAGAAACAGAAAAGTCGGTCGCGTGTCGTGCCATCCGTCTGTTCAGCCGTATACCGGAACTGGTCCAAAATGTATACTTTTCAAGACATATACGTAACAGATCATCTAGTTTCGTCAGAAACAACTGAAACAAAAATTACTGATGTTACAACCAGAGGAAAAATATTCGATGTTGAATAATTCCAATCGCTTGTGCTAATAATAATACGCTATATTTTATGCACAAATTCAACACCACGAGTCAGAATCGTGTCTTTTGTTTATGACACAAATTCTTTATCAAAAGTCAGACTCGTGGCTTTTGTTTATGACTCAAATTCTTTACCACGAGTCAGACTCATGGCTTTTGTTTATGGCACAAATTCTTTACCAGGTGTCAGACTCGTGGCTTTTGTTTATGGCACAAATTCTTAACCACGAGTCAGACTTGTGACATTTGTTTATGGCACAAATTCCTCACCACGAGTCTTACTCGTGGGTTTTGTTTTATAAGGTATTTCTCTCGCTTTCTAGCGTGCGTTCGTGGTGTAGTGGTTCTTCACGATGGGCCGGTATTCCAGAGGTCCGTGATTCGATTCCCGGCGAAGGCGATTGTTTATTTTTCATCTCTCTTGCTTCAAAAAAATCTTAATGTATCTACAGTTTATGGCACAAATTCTTTTACAACGAGTCAGATTCGTGGCTTTTGTTTATAACTCAAATTCCTCACCACGAGTCACTCTCGTGGCTTTTGTTTATGGCACAAATTATTTACCACAAGTCAGACTCGTAGCTTTTGTTTATGACACAAATCCTTTACCACGAGTCGGACTCGTGGCTTTTGTTTATGGCAGAAATTCTTTACCAGGAGTCAGACGCGTGGCTTTTGTTTATGACACAAATTCTTGACCACGAGTCAGACTTGTGACTTTTGTTTATGGCACAAATTCTTGACCACGAGGCTTTTGTTTTATAAGATATTTCTCCCCCTTTCTAGCGTTCGTTCGTGGTGTAGTGGTTCTTCACGCTGGGCTGGTATTCCAGAGGTCCGTGGTTCGATTCCTGGCGGAGGCGATTGCTCATTTTTCATCTCTCTTGCTTCAAAAAAATCCTAATGTCTCTACAGTGGTGCCCGAACTAAAAGGGTTGTGGATGATCACTCTCCACACTCAGGATTTGGTGAGTGAGTCCCTTAAAAACCTCAGTCGCCCTTTAGAAAGGGGAGTATATAAGGTACTTCTCCCGCCTTCCTAGCGGGCTTTCATGGTGTAGTGGTCTTGTACGCTGGGCCTGTATTCCAGAGGTCCGTGGTTCGATTCCCGGTGAAGGCGATTGTTCATTTTTCATCTCTCTTGCTTCAAAAAAATCGTAATGTATCTACAGTTTATGGCACAAATTCTTTTACCACGAGTCAGATTCGTGGCTTTTGTTAATGACCCAAATTCCTCACCACGAGTCAAACTCGTGGCTTTTGTTTATAACACAAATTCTTTAACACGAGTCAGACTCGTGACTATTGTTTATGGCACAAATTCTTTACCGCGAGTCAGACTCGTGGCTTTTGTTAATGACACAAATTCTTTACCACGAGTCAGACTTGTGGTTCTAGGCCAAAGGGTTAAAACTCCACTCGAGCTCCTTCTGCATTTTAGTGTAAAATACAATATAAAACAACAAGTTTAATTTACTTTTAGCATTTTATGAATCCAGATTCCAAGACATAGATCTTTAGGATATATAATTGACAAAGACTTACTATAAATATTAGCTACAGCAGTGGTAAATATATAATATAAATCGCGATTAAGCAAAAGAAAATAAATATAATTTACAAATGTAGAAACAAGCAAATAAACTCTAGCAATCTAAATACATTATAAATTCATATTTTCTTGTAATTATTATTTCTTGTAATTATAATTAAATGATCTGAATGTACTTTTTGGAGAAGCTGCGTTATTAAAAAGAATGATGCAAACATCTATAAGAGGTTTAAAAATTAATTATGAAATTATTAAAATAATAAGAACATAAAATTTATAAACATTGTTGCATTTATTAATTTCGGATATTTCATGTTGTATAGGTGCAGTATGCGCGAAACAGTTTTCTACGAAAATTTATACTCTCTGGAGTAGCGTATTGAGGTTAAAATAAATATGTCATTAATGGAGGAGGATAAGTATTTCTTACAACAATATTCTTCCTTTTTACAGTGTGCCGTTCTAATTGTTTTTTGTTGACTGAAATATCTAACCTAAAATATATTAACTTTTATGCTTATATGATAGAAAATCTACGTTTTTCCCATGCAAGTCTGAAGGGTCAAGCGGTAAAATTTTGTAACACTGGGTTAGCATTTCTCTGAAAGGTGTAGCTGCGTAGGAGGTTCCGCAGTTTTTCTATCCGTAATGAGCATACGAGTAAGTTTCCTTGAAAAATCCTTCTCGAAGGTATCTCTTATGTTAGGTAGCTTACCTATACGTGCTTTGCTGTAATCCAAATAACCCAATGCAATCCAGTTACTGAAAGAAGTTGGTCTCATATACACTTTTAGAGAAAAGTGTTTGAAGCCTGTTGTGCCGTATTGATAATGGAGTAGACAGTTAGGTTTTCGCATGAAGGCTATTGAATTCGAGCCTTGCTTTACATCTTTCACATTTCCGATACGTTCCATCCTTTACAGAAGGGGCTCACCAGCGGCCGAGCGGTAAAGTCGCTGAACACTGGTAGTTCGGTCCAAGGTTAGAATCCCGCGAACGAGCTGGCTGCATGGGCATTTCTGTGATTTTCCCCATGTATAACGTGTATACGAGCCAGTTTCCATTAGAACGTCCTCCACGAAGGCATCCTTCCCCTTAGGCAGATAGCCCTAGTGTGCTTTGCCATAATTAAATAACCAAACCAAACCTATAGAGAAGGAATACGAGAGTCTCCCAATTCTCTTCCCTGACGACAAACTCTCCACATGACTTTCCGTCAACAGTATTTTAAGTGCCTCCATACTGCCAAGATACTGTAAATTTACGGACATCCATAAATTTTTGGGGATTTCATGATTTTGTTTATTTGATTATGGTAAAGTCCTCTAAGTTTTGCCTAAGGGAAACGATGCCTTCTTGGAGAACTTTCTAAGGGAAACTGACTCGTATACACATATAAGGTATTTCTCCCGCCTTCTTAGCATATCTTCGTGGTGTAGTGATCCGCACGCTAAGCGCATTATCGAGAGATCCGTGCTTCGAGTAACGGCGAGTGTATTGCTCATTTTTCACGTCTTTTGCTTTCAAATTAACATAATGTCTCTACAGTGGCGCCTGAACTAAAAGGGTGGTGGATGATGATTCTCCGCCAGCAGGATTTGGAAATTTGTTCCCCTAATCCCCAGTCGCCCTTTAAATGGGTGAGTATATAAGATATTTCTCCCGCCTTCTTAGCATACTTTCAGCACGCTCTCAAATACGCCCCTTGGCGTATTTGAGAGGTCCGTGGTTCGAGACCTGGCAAGGGCACTGCTCATTTTTCACGTCTTCTGCTTTCAAATTAACGATATATCTCTACACATGTTACACATGATCGAAAATATGGAAGCGTCTATGCAGCCAAGCTCGTTCGCTGGGATTTGAACTCCGGACCAAACTACCATCAGTGTTCAGCTAATTTACCATTCGGCCGCTGGTGGACCTGAGATTCGAACCCGGGCCAATTTTTTTGATAGTCGGTAGTCGATTATACTGTAACCATGGGAAGGGGTTTCATATTGCTCTGTAACAGAAAATATCTTTAGCGTTTCTCGTTGGAGTACCTTTTATAGAATCTTTATTCTGATAAAGCTCATTATGCATTATGCTCACGAAAATCCTTGAGCATAATGCATAATAAGCATAATGCATTCAAAATAAAATATGTGACGGGCACTTGTATGTTACAGAATGCATAAGAGGAATTCTTATAAAGATTTTGTGTTTTATGAAATCACTTTGTATATTTATGGCTTACAAAACTTACTAGGTTTTGTAATAAGCCATTTACTTTAGATTAGTCATTTACTTAAACTACGTAACTAGAGTAAAAATGACTTTTACTTATGTTATTTAAAAATACCTACCTTCACCAGTCGTACGCTGTTATCAACGATATCATAATCGTCATCTTCCACAGCTAATAAAGTACCCACAAGGACGACCGTCAGAAGTACGATGGCCACTAGAACTGCAATCCACCACTTGACCCTGGACTTTGATAACCATTCTCGAAGTCCTTTCGCGCCCTCTTTCGCCCCAGACTTTTCGCCGGCAGGAGCGCTGGTATCGTTCTCTTTGTTATCCATGTTGCCGTCTTTTCCTTTAAGTGGAGAATCTTCCGCAGGTTCTTCAACGTCTGCTTCCTTTTTCATGTCAGCGTCGTCCTTGGCAAACTGTCCATCTTTTTTCTTGTCTTTATCGGGATTATTTTTGTTGCCGTTTTTACCTTGCTGCTTCTCGATGTCTGTGTTCATCCTCTTTCGACTCGGGAAGAAAGTGACCGGCCACACCTCCCCCTACCACCTTCGGCCACCTGGATGAATCAGATCTTCGAATACTTCTCTCAAGCTGAAGTGGACTATTTGATTTCAGTAAAACCTGCAATGAAAAAATTGAATGAAGTTATTGTTTAACATAATAAAATTATGGAACATTCAAATTTAGATTTTAAACTCTAAGACATATATCAAAACATCATATAAATCATATATGCAAAATCTATATTTTATTAATTACTATTTTATTAATCTATATAAGCTAGTTAAATTTTTTTACATAATCCTAAAAGATTTTATTCGTTCTGTATTTTATTCTATGCATGATCACATCAACCTGAAAACAAATCTTCCTAAATCTCCTATTCAACAAATCAAATATTTAAACCCTTCCTACAACTGAATGCACAAAGAGGTGACTAGTTTCCAGCTGAGACGCCTCCATGTTAGGCAGGAAGTGGGGAGGAGTCCTTTTCAGTAAAACATATTATGATTAACTCAAAGTACTTAAACTTTCCATTCGTTTTGCCTATTTTTAATAGCTAGACACATTTTTTAATTCTAGAATTTTACAAATTATAAACACGAAAAGAGTTTGTTGTTGCTAATGTGTTGTTGTTGTCTGACCTGTACTCAACCGAAGCCCACGAAAAACCTCGTGGCAAGGAGAGCAAGTTTACGCCTGTTGTTGAACAGCTTAAAAACGACAGTTTGAATTTCATCAGTTCCGTCCCCAGTTTTGCTGGAGAGCACCCCTCGGTGACGGATCCTAGAGTCTCCCATCCCTCTTTCCCTATCATCAACCTGTCGAGAGGACATTTGACTCACCGCATATTTAGAGTGCCCCAATGCAAACCCGCGCCTACAGTAGGTGCAGGTTTGTGCAGTGCACGACGGCGCGGAGTCAAAAAGAAGCCAGGCAGTCTTTAAAACAAGCAGTCCATCTCGCAGCCTGTCTCAACAGGGAACTTCTTGTCTTATTCGAACGCCCCTGCGGGGGTCGACTCAGATAAAACCTGGGAAGCTACTGATTAGAATCTGTACCTAGACAGTCTCGGCCATGGGTGTTTAAAATCAGTCTTCACAGGACTGGAGTCATCGCTGGCGATGGGTAATTCAAGTCGACAGGGACCACATGGTTGACAGGGACCACATGGTTGACAGGGACCACATGGTCGACAGGGACCATATGGTCGACAGGGACCACGTCTTGTCCGTTTCGTTGGTTCTGGTGAAGCTATATAGTCAGATATTCATGGTTGTCCGGGGCGAAACACCTCGCTTAGTGGAAGTGGCGAGTTCAGCGACCTTTTAAACTGCTTGAGGTTTCCAGTGGGCACCTGCAGCCTCAAAACTGCATATTCATATCCATCCTTGGTTTCTCTCTGGGGGCACCTAAAGCCGACGTCTATATACCATGACGTAGTGTTAGAAAGCCGGATTGGTTGTCCAGTCTGTTTGGCATTGTTCAAGTGACTTCGTTCTGCTGTTGGGCCGCTGTTGATGGCAGAAAGTTTTGCCATCCCTCCAAGACGGGCGTGGAATGTGAGTTGCTGAGTATTCCTGTCGACTCATCTTAGTCTTAGCTCATCGGGTGAACCGATAGGTCAGCGGTCTCTTAGATCACCTCTGGGGGGGCTGGGGTGTTTAACTGTGTTAAGGCAGCCTCAAGCTTACCGAATCTGAGTGCCCCTTTCTCCTAGCACACTGTCTTATTTGACCAAAAGATTATAACCAGAGCAGGTGACATCTCAAACAAGAGAGGTAAACAGTTTTCGAGTAATTATACTCGAATCGCTGCTTTTTCGAATAAAAAAAATTAACCTATGTTTAACATACGATGTAACAGAACTTATCTTTTTTATGTAGGATAAAAGTAATAAGCAATCCCCAAAACAAATCGCAAAAAAAAAAAAAAAAAATAAATAAATAAATAAATAAATAAATAAATGTTGCACAAATTACTACGATTGCAACAGTAGACACAAAATAAGGATTAAGCAATTTGTCGAACGCGTCTACCCTTACATAAGCATCGCATCACGCATTTTCTTTCACATATGTTTACAAGATCAGCTCAACCTGTGTCAAAACTTGCAAGAAGTATTTACTGATAAAAATCAAAGCTATATAAATAGTATAGATCTTATGGCATAACCTGCAGTTATTGCAAACATTTGGAGAAAATGTAGCATCGCCGGTTGACACAACCAAGCTACATCATTGTCGACAACATAGCTGTGTGCAGAAAAGAATTTTGGATATATACGTAGAGAATTTTTGTGCCCTTGTATTACATCGTGAACGGCGCTAAAAACAACAAATTACTCGGTGAAAACTTATTAGATACGTAAATTAATTTGTTTTTAAGATAATAAATAGTGTTAAGCAATATATTTGGTATTCAATGCGTTTAGTGTATTATTCCGCTTCGCTTGCAGTATTACTTTTTTATAATATAAATATATGTATAATTCTTCGATAAATATGTTTGAGTGTGGGATTTAACAAAGCACAAAATGTTCGTCCAGTTACATAAACTGAAAGATAAAATGTAATTTTTTTTTAAATTTCTGATGTTATTATGTTAATAGTACTTCATTTCAAGTGTTAACCATAAGCAGTTTCCCTTTAATATCGTCACTGCATAAATTCACTCGTTAGACATTTGCACGGCTGCGCGATTAAGTTTGGCGCGGGCCTACCCCCCATGCCGCGCAGACACTACACATTAAAAAATATCCATTCCTTCTCTGGGATTCAAACCTTGCTCTGCCCACCAGAGGCCGAGCGGTAAAATCGCTGAACACTGGTAGTTCGGTCCGAGGTTCGAATCCCGCGAACGGGCTGGTTGCATGGGTGTTTTCGTGGTTTTCTCCATGTGTAACGTGTATACGAGCCAGTTTCCCTTAGAAAGTCCTCCACGAAGGCATCCCTCACCTTAGGCAGATAGCCCTAGTTTGCTTAGGCAGATAGCCCTAGTGTCCCCTTAGGCAGATAGCCTAGTATTCTGAATACACACACACACACACACACACACAAACCGGGCTCTTCGGACCGGCAGTCAGCGATGCTAACTACAGTAAAACACGAAATGTTCATACCATAAAATATATTAGATTGCAGATAATATTACAAATCTTATTTATTAGTTCATTAACACATATATAGTAGAAGTATAAAAAAGGTCAATTTTAACAGATACTTTGATTAGGGACAGGACATTTAAATTTTTCGAATCTTGTGAGTTTGGAAATATTCGAAATTTCGCAAATCGAATCTTTTGAATCTTATTTAAAAAAATTCGTTAAGTATTTTAATTGAATTTTTTTGGAAATATTAGATTTATTAACGTCCAAGAGATATATTAATTAGAAAAAGAAATAATTTTATTTTTTTCTGCAATTGCAGTTCTGTTTTGTTATTAATATTAATTTGTAACTCAGCGAATACTCTAAGTTCTTTGGAGCTAATTGAACGTTCTTTGTTTAAAGTAGAGTTCCTCAACTAGGTGCAGTTTCAAAGCAAGCCGTAAAACAATTTTAAGATGCACGCCATTCAAACGTCTAATTTGCAAATTTTAGATTTTTGGCCAACAGACTCTCGTAACTGTAATGAATAATTTGAGTAAAAATTATTTTTTACTTCCTTGTACGAAGTAAAGGTTCTATAGTAATCCCGAAAAATTTCGGGTATCATTTTTCAAAGAAAATATCCGTTTTGACCGCTCTGGAATCTATTTACACGATTTTTTTCAGTGATATCCTCAGATACGGACAGAGTAAAAGACTTTTTTTTTTAAACGGATTGTAAAATTCATTTAAAATGGATTCACGAGGGACTTTTGTCTTGACATCCATACGTATGCGCCTACGTATATATATATCTCCTACAATTCAAGAACGATTACCCATAAAACATTGAAAGTTTGTATATGGGATTGCTATAACATATATTTGTGCATCTCCCTCTGAACCAGACATATATATATATTCCAGCATGCTGAAGAATAAAGCTACCGGGAGTAAGTGCAACAGAAGACTGGTAGATTACGATCTAAGCAAGACCGTATAAAACTCTAACAAATCCTTTTGGGCAATCATTAAAATCTAAACTCTTTCAGATTTTATTATTTTTTTTTTAATTGTCCTCTCTAAACCTTCTGCATCAGGTTGTTTTTATGTTTTACTTACTCGTTCAAAAGACCGATTTTGGCTAAAAATCTCAAATTTTTCATTTCACATTTCTTATGGCTCCTCTTATAGGTATCAAAGACAATTGTTCTTTTCTTGATATAAGAAGTAGAGATATACCAGTTTTTCTGAGAGACGGACAAACCGGAAGTTACTTTTGCCACAGCGAAAGTGAAGTTTAAAGGGCAAGTTAAAAATGCGATTTTCGTCCTTTATCATGTTATTTGTTAACTAATTAATTTTAAGCATTTCAATTAGTCTGGAGAAGCTGGCAAAGTGTTTTTATTATTCATTTTCTCATTTTCGTTTGGTAACGTGAATAGCTGTGTATAATGCATGTAACGTAAATTTGAGAAGCGCGATTTTTAATATTTTTTTTTAAAATTATTAGTTATGTTCACATAAATCTAAAGGTTCCTTATAGAATCACTTGAAATTTTGCGCAGAGAGTCTGTCTATTATTATGCATGATATAGTCTAAGAATTTTTTACAGACCTGAAATAGCATTTGAATTATGTAACTTTTTCTTCAATAGCGCATGCATTATTTTTAAAATTTTGTGTGTTGCCTAACATAGAATATGTAGATGCACGAAAACTACATTACGAAATGCACATGCGCGGAAAGATAGCTTACCCAAAGCAGGTTTATGGTTGCCATAACCACAAGGAACGGCACAGTGGCCACATTTGGCGAGAAATCGCCCATTTGGTGTCAAAATCGGCGATATGCCATGGACAAATGGGTAACCTTCTGGAACGATTTCTTACCGGTTTAACCCAGAATGTTCTCGAACACAAGCCGAAACTATATAAACACTGGTGGTACGCGGAGAGGGAGGGCGTGATAGTTGGCGTCTCCAGTTAGTTAGTCCATGCGGAGTCAATGGAATTGACAGTCGGTCAGCGA